CCTGTCTTTGTGGTTTGTGGAACGGCTTTGAGAGAAAAAGGTGGAAAAAAACTCGTAGGTTTAGAGAAGCCTTGAGAAGCTTCTATACACTGAGACAAGCTTAGTCGATTGGTTGAGAATTCCATAGAAGGGCTTAGTATAGCGCTAATCTGCAGTTGTTCTCTGAGCCTCATCGTGGAGTGCGTTTATTCCGGGGAAAATGGACCTAAAGAAAGTATCGCCCTTATGATGAAGTGAACTGAATAAATAAATAATTTCTACCCCAACCACCCCAACCAGTATTAATTTCCTCAGGTCCGACCGCCACTCACCATGAAAGAAGATCGTAAAGTCTCACAAGGAGAGTGGGGATCCAAAACACGAAATCATTCATGGAATTATCGCCACAAGAATCACTTCTTACAAATTGCTTTTCCGCTAAATTCTATAATATTTGGTAATCAGAAAACTAGATTTTAGACAATGGTAAAGAATTTTCAGAATATTTTTATAAAAGAAATTCGAGACCTAAAGAAGGAGGAAAAAAGATAAGGTGCACAACACACAGGAACAAGATCCCTACAGTGACCTTGTGATGGAATAAATTGTAATGGACGCAGGACTTACGGACGACATATTTCATTCCACGACATAACCTCATTTGAAAGCGTACACTTTAACCCATCACTAATACGGCGCATCGAAATTAATCCGTGGGCAACGAAAGGGACGTGCCCTGAGCGCTGGGTTGGGTAGGCACCTGGGTTTATGGTGCACCTTCACCAGGCGCTCGAGCAAAGACCTACAGACCGATTACTACGGGAGATACCGTTACCGTCGTTTCCGTCCAAGTCCTCTACTAGATTGTGTTAAGTCTGTCTGCATTTCAAAGTTTAGATGGACTTGGTGAATCCAAGTCGCAAAAGCGATGAATCCGGCTGCTGGGTTTTAAAATACGGTCTCGGTCAACGTAATGTCGTCTTTAGGCTTTATGTCCTGGTCCTTTATGTTTAAAGTCTAAGCTTTCTGTCCTCGAGTCTTTTGGTGGAATGCACTCTGTCCCCTCGTTCCCACAAATTGTTTGAATTATCTAAGAAAGTAGCTAATTTTACCAATTTCAAAGTCGAAAAACAAGAGAATCTGCTGGATATTGAGAATTCAAAACTTAGCAACAGCCGGAGCACAGCTGTGTGAGTATCTTATTTGGAATCGAGGGGAAGGCTTCAAAAAACCTGAATATGAGCGTGTAAATTGTAGACCTTCGAATTGGTACCCCTCTAGAGAAAGCTGACAGCATGCACCTTGTAATAAATTGGCTATTTCCCCTGAAACCGCTCCAAGCTGACTGAACCGAATACTGAGGAAACCCTATGTCAAGAGAAAATGTTGACCACACACCTTGTTTCCTCTCATCCTCCCACCAAGTCGAAAAGCAGAAACAGATGAAAAGATAGTAGCAAACTAGGAGGGAAGGCAGNAGCATGTCCATATCCGGTAAATAGCTATCATTGTTGTTCATCTGTCGCCCTTTGGTTTGAACAGACAGCACGACAGTTCTATAAACTCGCCTTGTGCAAAGGCGACCGCTAACAAAACGCATAAAGCCGGAAACTGGGCACCAAACAAAGATGAAATGATTCCATTGTTCTCATTAACATCCATTGGAGAGTGAAACGACCGGTGTAAAAGTAGTCAAATCAGAAAAGCTGCCTTATAAAGAAAGGTAATCACATAGGTAAAGCTTTATTGCTAACTCATATAGGCGAATAACACCTGAGAAATCAAACGAACTTTATTATGAAGGAGATCCAAATGGGTAAAATCTATCGCAAACTATCTCTATGAAATTATCAACATTACAAACAGCTGAGTCTCATCGTTTCTAACAAAACAATGTAATCAATAAACATTGTTTATAAAAAACGATGAGATAATAGATAAGACACATCGACTCATCCACCCCATACAATCAAAAGAAAAAAGTGAACCGGAAGCAAGGATATCAGGCGATACATATGCATCTATAACGCCTACAATATATTCTTCATATTCTATACTGATCAATGTTCTGTTTCACATTGAGAAACTAGAATAAAACAAGCAAAAAATGTAAAAAGTAACTCCTTGTACAGAAAACAATAATGAACATCTCTGTATGACTATTGCGTTTGATAGAATCCATTTTCGAACGATTGCACTCCACCAGCATCATCAGGAAACCGGCTGTATTTTGGCCCCACTTCAGTCTGAACATCATCGCTGCATACTCGTAAAAAAAAGTAAACCCAAAAAAACAACATAAGTAGAAGGAAGAGAAAGTAAAACACGGAGAAATAAAACTTCAAGTAGGCAATGAAAGCATCTTGACAGCTTATCTCCTCCACCTTGCCCACATGGAAAAGTTTTTTCTCTAGCGCCCAGTCGAAAGGAAGTTTTACTCCCATTACCTGCACAAAAAGGGAGGGTATCATCTCTCTGAATAGATGTACACATATATATTATTTCTATATTTTCAATGGCTTGGAGCTATGCATCATTTCAAAACATGCCCTCATGTGAGCTCAAACTTTGTTAAAATTTCATTGTTTCCCGAAGTGATTCATCACAGCATACTTATTGAAAATTCAGCCAGCTCGGAAGATAACCCGAAGGCTTATGCCTAAAAAAGCCAACGAACCTCGTCAACCATTCTCGCCTCCTCTTCTGTCTTCAAGAAGAAGCGTGTCAAATCGAATTGTGGCATCTCGTACAGCGTAGCAAGAAACAGCATCATACAACATAAACCGACCAGTAAATACACTGCAATGGATGAAATATACTGCGAGAGTTATCCATGGAAAGGAAGCCGGATTCCATTTTCCTCATTTCGTGGATTCGAAAGTTAACATCGGAAGAAGCTGACGGGTTTCGGCTGTATTATATGTAAATTTGCTCGCCACGCAGCTGCGGAAAAGGTGAGGTAACTTTTCTTTTTATTTTTCGCTATCCTTTCTGGTAAGCTAAATGAATTTCAAGGACTTCTGATGCGTGAGACTTAGAGAAGGAGCACCTTATTAGTTGCTTAAAATAGTCCAAAGTGTCATGAACTTCAATACTATCTACTTTTTACAAAAATTCACTACTCAAGCGCTACTGCGTATGAAAGCGTCTGAAATAAAAACCGCCTATAATGATAACTAAAAGTAAAAATGAATATAAACAAACCGGTGGCAATAACTTTGTAGACACCTCTGTACTCCTGGTCAGGACTGTCACCTGGTTCGTAGTCGCCTGGAAATAAGAACTGCTGTGTATAAGGGTAACCTGAGAGGCCAAGAAGAAATACGGAAAATCATTGACTAGGAGTCCATGTTTCAAGAGAAACGAAATCAATGTGTAAAATAAACAAATCCTCACCTAAACCGATTGTCGTCAAAGAGACGAAACAGTAGTAGAAGGCATCGAGATATGTCCAATCTGGTTCAATATTTGCAAAGATCCAGGCAGGTATAAGGAAGACGAAGACCAGAAGAAGCAGGCAAACAGTCGCCAAGTGAAACATCTGGAAACATTACCAAACGTATCAGACAGAAGGATAAAAACGATTGAAATTACGAGTGAGCATCAAGAATTTCGAACTGCACCGTGAAGTGGGATCTAGTCTTTCGTGTTAGATAACACGAAAAGAATATTAGAACTCACTTGAATATGGCCTTCATGGAAGATATGAGCTAATCGTTTATTTAGAAATCCTCGCAGAATCTGGGACGGCTTTTTGAGACGAGCTACAATAGCTGAGAGAAGCGCCAGGGTAAGGGGAATTCCTGAACCGAAGTAGCTTTGAGGAAACGGACGATACGACCGACGTTGAAAATCACTACTTTCAAGGAAATGGTAAAAGAGCCAATTGTAATTTCTCACATACCGATCATGCAATAGACGATAGTGAAAAGCTTTCCATGCTCTGTTCTTGGTGACACTCTCCCATAGCCTGTAAAGGTAGATGAGATAACAAGGAAAGCATTTAAAAATCGATCAATAAAAGAATCAAGGAGCGGTATAAGCCTATAAACAACTTGAAATACTAGTTCAAAGGCTTTATTCAAAATCAATATTGCAGCCGGGTTTGCATACAAGCACATCAAGTGCTCGAAAGTCGTTTTCCTGATTACATGCATCATAATCGCATTCAGCTAACATTAGGAAGAGCTGCTCGATCGTCCCAACCGTTCGCAGAGTATAAACTCACTGCATTCGTAGAGCGGTTGCAATGGGTTCATACTCTGCGAACGGTCGAAACGATTGAGGGGCTCTTGTCAAAGTTGGTGAGTGCAATCATGAGAAATGTGTAATCAGAAAAAAAACTTTCCACTACTGACAATGCAACGGTTGCGACCACTCATCCAATCCTATTTTCAGAAAGAAGCATATCGAAGTAGAAACTCTATGCATCACAATATCAAGATTTATTCAGAAATAGTCCTCTAAAGTGACTGAAGTTTATAAAATTTTTCTGACAGTTTTGAATGCTCTGGCCCTGCATAAGCCTCCTTACTGGAAGAAGCAACATGAAAAAAAATTATCCTCACCCACGGTGCTGATAAGCGTACCGGCAAAGAAGAATGCTTGACCAAAAGACCAATTTGGTGAACTGGTAACATTTTTCTCCATCCAAATTCCATTCAGAGCAGCATCACGAATATCAGCGAATAATCGATCAATTTCAGCTTCTAAAACAATATACAGTTAACGAAATATATACAAATGTGCGAATTACTTCGACTACAAACCCTCTAAAATAGCTGCTACCCGTTAGCTGCTATACTTCACCGCAATGTCGCGCTCCCATTGAAAGGACTCGGTGCGACAGCTCATTTTACTTTACTGTATCCTCAGGTATTACACACAAGTAGGTAATGATGACCCGCAGATTATTTGAATGGAAACTTGAGAAAGGACAGGAGATTTAGTATGACCTTTTGAAGGTAGTACATTACATATTTACTTCAGGTACATACAAAGTGCTAAACGCAAAAACGTCATTGCTGGACAGAAAGCGGCTGCGCTGCGCTATTACTCTTGGAGCGCGTTATCTTAAGCGATCGGTAGAGCAGCTCTTCAAAATGGCGCTGCGGCTAGAGGTAATTCGTGCAGCGAAATTTCAATGAATGAATTCCTATTCAAACCACAAGTAGTCATTCGATGCCTGTCTTTGAAAAAATAACCATGAAAGCCTTTATTCGCAAGACATGAAGCTCAAAGGCTTCAATAACAAGAGGTCCATCAGGAAGTTAAAGACACGGTTCAGGATAATTTGAAAGAACCCCTTCATTCAAAAAGCGGTAATACAGGTTGGGAATAGTTCACCGGTTGTGAAAAAAGCGAGAAAATTAGCTTACTTCGAGAAAAATAAGGCTCCTCAAAAGAAGGGAAAATAGAGGTTGGACGAGATTGCCATGACGGGAATAACCTGGAAGGGGTGTTCGGACGAGATTTCAATTACTGCAATTGCGCAAAGAGCTTGACTACATCCAGCCAGAACTGTACACAACTGCCTTTCACTGTCGCTACTGGTCATGACAAGTTGCTTGAACCTCCTGCATGGGATCCCTTGTGAATGGTGCAGCCTCTGCAATACCGGTAAAACTCGTCCGCATGTACACACTGTGCAATCTCTTAGCCTTTATAACGCCCTAACTAAGCCGTTTTGCGACCTGATAGCGCCAGATATGGTATACGAGGGGCCTTGAATTCAACTCATGGAAAATCTCAGAAACCTTTTTATCGTGAACTGTGCCTTTAATCTATTTGATCTTCATAGAAATTTCACTCAGACATGAATTCCCGTGATTTGCCAAAAATGACTCAATCGCTCCAAACTCACCGCTAACCCCAGTGGCATCTTTGAATCGTTGAACAGCAACAATGAAGTTCTCTCTGGTTTGGATTTCATTATCTAGTTCTAGTCCCATGAAGAGGAATGCACCTCCGATGAGGTAGACAACGAGGAGAATTGTGGCAACAATGATTGTACGACATCGCACTTCTGATTTCATTTATAGGCCTAGAAGGTCAATACACAACGTTTATCGCATAGTCGCCATATATTCTCGTCTCACTGAGACGGAACAAGCGAGGAATTACAAGTGGAAGAAACGTTTTGATTCTTTGGGCGAGAAAAACAAAGAAAAGAAGCTCAAGTATGCTCAGAAGTTGCATGGCGAGCAATAAGGTTACAGTTAGGCGGACTGTTGCGACGCGGTCCAGCACAATACAAAAAACGTCACCGCTGTTACTTCAGGAATCCTAATAAGAAACATAATAGGAAACGGAAACGGAACCGGGAGTTTTGAGCGATATCGAAAACAAAGATCGAGCTCTGAGGATAAGTGACCTATGATGTGAAATGCATGGAACCTTGTGTCGAATAATTTCGAGAAGCGTGTATCGATTACTTGCGCGTAAAATCAATATTCTATTCTATACTGCAAGTTTGTGTCATTCAANAGTCGCCATATATTCTCGTCTCACTGAGACGGAACAAGCGAGGAATTACGAGTGGAAGAAACGATTTGATTCTTTGGGCGAGAAAAACAAAGAAAAGAAGCTCAAGTATGCTCACAAGTTGCATGGTGAGCAATGAGGTTACAATTAGGCGGACTGTTGCGATGCGGTCCAGCATAATACAAAAAACGTCACTGCTGTTACTTCAGGAATCTTAATAAGAAACATAAAAGGAAATGGAAACGGAACCGGGCGATATCGAAAACAAAGATCGAGCTCTGAGGATAAGTGACCAATGATGTGAAATGCATGGAACCTTGTGTCGAATAAATTCGAGAAGCGTGCATCGATTACTTGCGCGTAAAATCAATATTCTATTCTATACTGCAAGTTTGTGTCATTCAAGCAAAATGCAAAGACTAAGCCAGAATGAAAAAAAAACCGTTCCACATAACTCTCAGTATTGCTATCTACGGCACTGCAGTACTATCTATTCACGTCGAATTTGTTGAAATTTCAGAATTTTTTCGCATATAATGTATCGGGCAAGAAAACTGTAGTGGAAAAATGAAAAATAAGCTCAGAAACGGTTTCAGACGGGGGTTTTGCTAGAGAGACCATAAGAGGCATTGGTGATCGATGTTATTGACACCGACCGACCAAAATAGCACCATGGTGGCCATCTGACAAATAGCCTTATCAGCCCAGTGATCAAGGTTTATTTGTTAAAAGTCGACTACAGAGCAGTAGAACCACTTCCTAAGGGATCTGCGAAGGTTTAATCTTTAAGGGTTTACGAAGTTTTCATAGAGTCAAATAAAAGTTAGTGGTAAAAAGAAGGGGAAATCGAATTATTAGCTGCCATCTAACTGAACAAATAATCCAGTAATAGTCATTTAATTGATTGGATTAATTAAATATCCTTTCGGAAAGTAAATTTAGGAAAAAGTTCACCTCGAAACTAGAAAACATCTCAAATCCATTTGTGAGAAGAATGAATAGCGAATGTATTCATTCATTCATATATTCATTTATAAAAGAAGATAAAAATGACACAAGAAAAAGAAAGATTTCAAATAAATAAGAAAATAACGAATGAATGTGAGGAAACATGAAAGAGTAAGATATTAAAGTGCTGAAAGATTCAAATAATAAATTAGAGATCATCACGGACCATTCCAAGTCAGATGAAGGTAATAAGTAAAATTTGAAGACCCGATCAACTGCCTAAACCTATCCGGTCGGCCTCATTGACCGAGGAAGGTCAATAACTGCTAAGTTGATCTAGCAATTAAATTTAGAATGATAGATAAATAAAAAATCGATAAAAATGATTGTCACTGCATGCCTTAACCCTCCTTTTCTCTTTAGTGACATGCTTGACCACAGCTTCTGACTTTATTTCTATTGACCTTACCAATTAGTGGTGAGGGGCAGAACCAATATGAAATTTTAATTTTCACTTTTCGCAGGGTCTTCAGTCCTTGGACTTCACTCAGATTGAATTCATTACACTTTATTCTTAGGTCCAATGATAAAGTTCTGTAAATCATGCGGACAGTAGGTGACTGTTGTGTTAAGATGCCTCAAAATCAAATCCAAGAAGAAAGTAGTGAGTTCAAAAGAAGAACCCTAGAGAATATCAGGTAGGAGAAACTTGAAATGAGGAAAAACAAACGAGGTTGAAGCAAAATGAGCCGATAAGCGGAGTGGATTTCAAAAATGGAAGCTATGGGAAGATAAAAAATGAGTACTGGAGAGTGAAAGAACGCTCAGACCAAACACTATGACTTTTTACTAAGTTTGCCATAAAAATTCAGAAAATTTTCTAAGAATTTTTTTGCCCGGTCAAGAACTACCGGAAGCTTAGGGCAAGGGGTTAGTATAAAGTAGTCTTGTATTTCCTGAAAGGTAACTTAGGACTTCTCGCTTGCACTGAATCCTTTCTTGTTCGGACAAGCCACTTCTAGCACTCCAGAGTTGGCTGATAAGCATAAGCCCTCTACTGGAGAAACCGTAACTCGAGCATTGGATAGTCTCTGCTAGGCAGCGCAGGAAAGTTGCTATCCGACAGCATCACCTTCAATTGTGTCTTTGATCCTAATCGATGGTCGCATGTATGGCGCAACCCAATGATTTTGTGGAATCGACCATTTTGCCCACACTGTCTCCAGAAGAAAACAACAGCTGTTGATTTTTCAGAGAGCTTATCAAATTGTAACGATTGCTTGAGTTAACTCACCCTCAACACCAGCAGCCATTAATCTCTCCGTCCATTGCTCTCGATATTCCCAATGAGTTTCTCGTTCTATTCTTTCCAACGGATATTCTAATCTGGAAAATTCGATGAAACAGACTTATTAAAAAAAGCTCAAGGTCCGCTCATCAATGGATAGAGCCACTCATCGATTTTACAGCATTTTAAAGAAAGTAGGACGTTATCCGGAGCTCCTTGGAACAACCTTGGAACTTTTATTTCATTGCCTATCTATAAAATAACAGGACAGGACACATGAAAATTCCACTTGTCAAAGACAGCGCCTCTTGTCTAAACAGCGCTCCAGCAGACTACGCCGCGCATTCAGCTATCGCTAAGAATTGCGTTTGATGGAAGATTGATCCGCATAATCAATCAATCGATCATTTGTCAAAAAAGGAAGATTCTTTTGATCCGTTCCTTGAACCAAGACACCTCTATCTCATATAAAATATGTATGTTGTAAGGCTGCCTTAGCTTCCTTACCTCAAACCAAATCCATCCTATCATAGTTCTTTTCAACATGAGCTAGGTACTATAAAGGATTCGTATAAAGCTTCCGTCGATCGTATCTCTTTGTTGCAGATGGGAACATTATAACAAAAAATAAACTCGCCTTACAAAAACGATGGCTCCAATGAGCAGATAGACGAGCATCACTAAGCCACCGATGTAAAGCCGGCCATTGGTGTCCCTCATCCGCCCTTCCATTCCCGAAACAACCTAAAAAGGATATGATCCGCTTGGTATTGGGCCCCACTCTGAGTTCTTGAGCTTTCACAAAGGATCCCCTTTCGATATTGAAAGGAGGCGGCTCAGTTGAATTTTGGGCGAAGTACCGAGCTCTTTACAGCATAGTCACATGAGTGTTAGTAAAGCCTTTTTAAGGACGTTCTCATTTCATGCGAACACCCATTTCGTTCATATAAGGGGTCNAGGTAAAAAAGGTCCCTTATGTAGTTCAGAGCAGCAGTTATGTCGTGCTTCCACCAGCATTAGTACAACGTGTAACGGCCATAAAACTCCCTTTACGGCCGAGTTCAGCCAGACTTCAGCTGATTAAGGAGATGGGTGATGTGGCAGCGTGGGACATCTCCCGAGGGAGTACATAGTCTAGGTTCGTAGAGGTACCTAATGAAGTGCACTCAGATGTCAAACCACGGCTGAAAAACGCTTTAGGTACATCAGCCATTATCAGTTGGTATTATAAAATCGAATAAATAAATAAATAAATAAAATAATAAGTGTCAAACGATAATCAAATAAACTCACCTTGTTATGTAAGGAGAAAATTTCAAGCCCCATGTCTGCCCGATGGTGTTAATTCCAGAACCGCAGAAGAATTGTCTAAAAAAGAGTAATGAAATAGCTGTAATAATTTTGAAATAGTACGAGCAATGCGGAATAAAATTTCCCCTAACTGTTGAAAGTGTGATTTAAAAGACGAACAAGCGGAGGGGTAGAAAAGGCA